ACAGCTGCGGCTACACAAGAACGCCCCGCGTGCACCACAGCGCACGTGTACAATACGATCTGCAAACACACCTCAGCAGCCGCGCGCAACGCGGCGACGGGCGCCTGCGTGCACCAAGCAGCTTATGTACACCACGAAGCCCGCGCATATTTCGAGGGTCCCGACGGCGCCCATAAACCGAAACTCGCGGTCGCGGGGGGGGGGGGGGGCGCGAACGTATCACATTGAATGTGCCAGTTTGTCGCGGTCATTGTTTTTTTGGGCCGCCCGGATACCACTCTGGCAAGTTGTTTGCGTTGCGTGCGGCCGCGGCCACGAAGATCCCTCCAGAGGAGAAGGGCCCGTGGCGCCTCGAGCTAACTTGCGCCTCGGTTTCGTCAGGAAAAAAAACCTGGCACAGACGCCCGCGAGAGGGTTCCGACGCGGCTCAAAACAGCCCCAGGACGGCTGGAGAAACGCCAAAGATTGCCCAGGAGGCTCCCAAAACAGGGACCACCAACCGACAGTTTGAGCACTCCCCCCTCCCAAGGCGTCCCCAGGAGGTCCCCCAAAGCGCCCAAGAAGCCTTATGAGAGATCCAAGATAAACCAAAGAGCGCGCCCAAGAAGGCACCAAGAGGCTCCAATCCCCCCTTTCCCCTTATTGCCCCCCGCATCTGCCCGTCGTCCTCCTCGTCCTCCTCGTCCTCGTCCTCCTCGTCCTCGTCCTCGTCCTCGTTCCCGCCCTCCTCCTTCTCCTCCTCCACTCCTCCTCCTCCTCTTCCTCCTCCTCCTTCTCTTCCTCCTCCTCCTCCTCCCCATCCCCCCTCTCCTTGGCGCCCAAGGTCGGCGGCACAAGCCGCAAATCCTTCCCAGTAAACTGGTCACTGCGCGGCCACAAGGTGGCCACTGCGCCGTGGTCGGCGCGATGGTAGTACAGGACCTGCTCCGACAAGTTGCGGCGCGCCGCAATCGCAGGTCGCGGGCGCCCTCACACTCGCGCTGGACGCGCAGCTCCTCCGGGGAGCGGCGAGGAAGGCGTCCAAGAGGGGGGCGTGCCAGGCCCAAACGTCCAACGCTGGGACGCAGAAAGAAATCCAGTACGTTGCCCCCCCCCTGGAGGCGCATGTCCGAACCTACCACACAGCACAAACACATCCTATCACATGTCGTTACCCGGGCGGTGCGGCCAGGAAGTGCCCGGTCCCGACCATCTTCCCCCAACAGCGTTTGCACTTAGAGGTTCTTACTTCTGGAATACAGAACTGGGATTGCGGGCCAATCCGATGGATGTAGTCGCCGTCGCCGCCTCGTCGCCACGTAGCAGCCCACGAGAAAGAACAAACTCTGCGCACCCCTGTGCCTGCGTACGAATGCACCCCTGTGCATGTGTGCACCGCCAGCATGTGCATCACAGTGCCCGCGCACACAACAAAGCCCGCGTACACCTCCAGGTGCTCGGCATCATCAAACTTCAACAAAACATGGCCAGCGCGAACGTATCACATTAAATAAGCCAATTGTTTGTGATTGTTGTTTTGTCTGGCCACGGGCACGGCCCCTATCTCCGTTGCCTGCGGGCACAACAGTACCAATGTATACCGCAAGGCAAGGCCCCACCACGCCTGTGTGCATCTTAACTGCCGCCGCACACGGCGCGTGCGCTATGCACACCAAGCTGCGTGTCTCTTCCAATGTGAGTGCTCCGCCGTGCCTGTGCGGTTGCCATATCAGCCTACGCGCGCCACGCACCTCTACATACCACAAGAACATGCCTGCGCCCACTGCAAATACACTGCGCGCACTGCGAACAGCATACATGTGCGCTAAGCAACAGGCGCTGCTGCAACGGGGGTGGGTGGGGAGGCGGGCGTTATGCGATCTACTGGGTGGGCGGGTGGGTTGGAGGCCACAGAACGCGCGTGACGTGCTCGAGTAAAACGACTTACGCTCCTAGAAGGACCTGTTACATCTGATTGGTGGCGTCGTTCTTTCGCTTCTCAAGCGCTGTCGGGTGAGTCAACTTGCATAGACTGGTCTCAGCAAACGTTGGTAAAAGTTGATCGTCCACTCCTTCATGCCGCTGCTGCAGAATATCACATAGGGCGTCGCGCGCTTCACGACCAGCTGCTCGATGTTATGTCTCGAACTCCTCGGTGTCGGCGGAGAGCTTATCTTATGGAGGCCCTGCCCCTCTAAAGCTTGGCACAATCGGTGGTGGTACGCTTCTGGGTGTGCCTTTGCCGTTTCCAGATGTTTGCGAGCCGCCGCCTGGTGGTCGAGCCGTTCTGCGCAGGAGCAGGACGGGCAGCGAGAACGGCGTACTGTTGAGCGTTTTCTGCGTCTCCAGCTTCTTGGTCGAGATGCTGGAATTGGTGGGCTTTGTCTGGCGCGCGTGGCAAAACAGTTGGGAAGTCGGAGTCGAAGCGTTTGCCTTTGGTGTTCTGCGCCTTGCAGTCGCCCTTCTTGCACCGTCTGCTTGAACCCCTTGTAGCTGGTGGTGTTTTGGCTGACTAGTTCTCTGCTGGCTTCAGTCTGTGAGGGCTGGCCCAACCGTTGGCCGCAGCGGTTGCACAACAGGGTTCCCTTCGGCTTCGTGCGGCAAGTGCAATGTGTACACGGCAGGTTCCTGTTGCTCACGACCATGTACCACACGTCACTGCTCGTAAGTGTCCCGCTTGGCCTCGGCTGGCATGATCTCTGACGTACGGTAGGCGTCAATCCATCGACGAGGGCAATGCTGCAGCACCCAAGGATTCCGCTCCCAGCCTGCACTGTCAGCAGCAGCCTTGCCGCCCACAGAAACAAAAATATGGAAGAGCCAACGCAGCCCAGTGCGCGGGTCCGCTCCGAAAGCGCACTCGGAGGAGATATGGAACTCTGCCGCGGACCAAAGGTTCCCACGCGTTCTGCAAGGGGAACGATTTGGTTGAGCCCACATGGCTACGGAATGGAGGAGGAGGAGGAGGAGGAGGAGGAGGAGGAGGGGGAGGAGGAGGAGGAGGAGGAGGAGGAGGAGGAGGAGGAGGAGGAGGAGGAGGAGGAGGAGGAGGAGGGAGGAGGAAGAGGAGGGGAGCACAGAGGCATGCGGAGGCGGAGGAGGAGGAGGAGGAGGAGCAGGAAAAGGAGCAATTCTCGAACGGTTCATTCGGTCCTGGGATGTTCCGCGGGAGTCTGGTCGGGGAGATGTAGGGCTCGGGTTCGGGGAGCTCGTGTTGGCCTGACGGGCCCGTCAGGGGCCGTTGCGAAGCTGTCTTGGAAGCCCCCAAGCCCGCCGTAGGGTCTCTTGGGGCCGTGTGGGAGCCTCTTGGGCCGTCGGGTTGCCGTCGACCTGGCGAAAATCGACTCCTTCGCACTCTCGTGCCCGACCGAGCCGACCAAAACTGACTGCTAGGCACAGGGCCCGCGATTGGTCAGGCCGGCGGCAGAAATCTAGCAACGGGCAGTATCTTCCATGCCGTACTTATCTGGCTTTCGTGACGGGGCTTGGCGGTCTACGGTCAGGCACTTTTGCTTAGCCTTCGGTCGGGCCTGTCCCCCTGCAGGCGGATGTCGGGCGAAACAATTCAAACTATTCCAAAAATATTCAAAACAATCAAACATACTGCAAATCGTCCCCATACTGTTTGTTTCAACTATTCTTGAATCTTTCCCCTGTCGAGGGACAGGCCCGACTCAAGCTGAGCGTGGCGTGGCAGCGGCTCCTGCGACACGCCCTGCCCGGCAAGCTGATCGCGTGCCGCCCTGCTCCGCGGTGCGAAGCGGGCCAGGGAAAGGCCCGGGGCGCCGACGCTGGGCAGTTCTGGCGTGGTTGGCGTCGCCGAGGCGTGCTGGACCAGAAGCGGCACAACGACACTTCTCGGGCAGGGCGCAAGGGGGGGATGGCAGAGGAGGGGTTTGAGAATCAGCTCGCGTAGCTGATTCTCCTGGCGCCTCCCGGCGCCGGAGGCGGCCATGTATCGAGAAATGGGCCCGCCGGCGGGGCCGAAACCAGCTGCATGCAGCAGATTTCGACCCCCCCCCCTTCCCCAACCCCCCCTTTCGCCTGGCCCGACACGCCAGGGAAACGTTCCTGACCGGATCCTGATCACGGCGCTCCTGCGAAGGCAGGCAGGCCTGAGCCAGATCGAAGCGCGAAGCCGGATCGGATCGGATCGAGAGCGAGTCGTCTCGAGCCGAATCGAAATCGGATCGCCGCGCCGAGCTCCACCTGGCCCCGAGCCGAACCGAGTCGAATCGGTCGGAAAAGCGGTCCCATCGGATCGGATCGTACTGTTGGCGTTGGAAGGCTGGCGTTAAGTCGGGCCTGTCCCCCTACAGGGGGATTTTCGAGGAAACACAAAACATAGTCAAACAAATACTCCAGAATGGCCAAACAAGGCTAACAACAAATCGTCCCCATAATATGTGTTTAACTATTGTTGACTATATGTATGTATATATATATATATATATATGTATGTATGTATATATTCCCCCCTGTAGAGGGGCACGCCCGACTTAAAGCTAGCGTGGAACACCGCTCTCCGACACGCGCGCCCTCCCTGCGAGGCGCCCCCCCCGCGAGGGCCCCCATTCTGCGACACGCCGTCCCCCTGCCGGGGCTCCTCCGCGGCACGGGCGTGGCGAGAGCGGGCCGGCGGCGCCCCCTCGCACGCTGCCCTGAGGTCGGGCCTGTCCCCCTGCAGGGGGATCTGGGGCGAAAAACAAAAAAAAAAAAAAAAAAAAAATATACTCGACAAAAAAATATTCCCCCAAAATACCAAAATAATACTCCCCAAAAAATACCCCCCCAAAAAAATACTCCCCAAAATACCCAAAAAAATACTCGCCCAAATGCTCGAAGGTGATCAAAAAATTGCCCCCAGACTCTTTTGTTGACGGTGTCTGAGCAGCCCCCCTGCAGAGGGACGGGCCCGACTAAAAAGGCCGTCCTTCCAACGCCGCCCGGGCGCGGCCCTGGCAGGGGCCCCGCAAGCGACAGCTCCCGGCCCGCCCTCCCCCACCCCCCAAGGGGGCGGCCTCGCCGTCGGCCCAGCCCCCCAGGCGCAGCGACTTGAACATCTCGGCTACCTCGGGCGCGCCGCACGCGGAGCGGGTATGCACGGCCGCCGTGCCGCCGCGCCGCCGCGGGGAGCGCCGGCCATGAGGGGACGAAGGGGGCCCTATATCTGACCAAGGCCGGCCTCGGCCGCGATCGGCTCCTGGGCCCAGATCTGAGCCACTCCTGAGCCCAGTGCGGTGTGTATCGCAGCGTCTTGGCCGTAGAGGACGCCTGGCGGGACCGATCGCGACCAGAGGTGTGTCCTCAAAGCCTCGGCTTCGGCAGGCCCGCTTCGGGCCCGGGGGCCGCCAGAGATCGGCCAGGGCCAGGCCAGGAGGGGCGGCCGCGGGGTCGGTCGAGAGCGGGCGTTGGTCGGGGGGCAGCGGGGGACGCGGTGAAAACAGGGAGGGGGGGGAGAAGGAGGAGGAGGAGGAGGAGGAGGAGGAGGAGGAGGAGGAGGAGGAGGAGGAGGAGGATCTCTCTCTCTCTCTCTCGGAGGAGGAGGAGGAGGAGGAGGAGGAGGAGGAGGAGGAGGAGGAGGAGGAGGAGGAGGAGGAGGAGGAGGAGAGGGGCACCAACTGCTCCGCGGCCGGCTGATACGGCCAGGCGAGGGCGGAGGACGGGGGGGGGGAGCAGGACAAGGAGCAGGGCGGCCGGGCGAGAGTGGACGACGTCGCTGAGGAGAGCAGGGCGAGCAGCAGGGCCGCGACGACGAAGAGTTCGAGCCGCGAGTGCGCACGCAGGCGAGGGTAGGGGGAGGGAGGACGACGACGACGAGGAGAGCAAGGGGGGGAAAGACGAGGAGGACGCGGACGTGAACGAGGACTTGGAGCGGAGGGCGGAGTGAGCAGCAAGCGCACGAGACGGTGGCGGAACAGGAGGACAGGAGGGTAAAGATCACGTCGGCTGCGATGCAACGTTGCGGAGGACGCAGAGGGATGAGACCGAGACTGGCCTGGACTTCGGACTGGACTCTGGGCAGAGGGATGGGACTAGCATTGTCATCTGTTCGCCGTTCAGGGGTCCCAGCTATCTGGAGCCTCCCACAAACACTGCCTATGCGCGCGGGGGAGGGACTGTTCGACGTCGGCGGCGCTCAGAGGGCAAACGAGGGAAGAACGCAGGCTTCGGCCACTCTGGGGCACCAGATCTGCCCGAGATCGGCATGCTTCCCCCACATCCGCCGACCCCGTCGGCGTGTGTGAGACGTTTCCTTTTGAGTCATCGTCGTCATCGTCGTGGTCATCGTCGTCATCGTCGTCGCCGTCGCCACTCTCCCCTTTTCTCTGGGCCCTCCTCCTCAAGCGATCCAGTCAGATGGCAGTCGAACATGGTCGTCATAGAGTCGAAGGGAAGCCCCTTCCCTTTGATCCTTTCCCCGCCGGGGGTATTCCTCGGAGGGGTACCCGGGGGGTCCCAGGGGGGGGTCTAGGGTGGGGCTCCAGGGGGGGCCCCTAGGTCGTGACCACCCCCTCTCCAGAGCCGCAATTGGCTACACGCAAGAGTGACCCTGGGTAAGCGTGACCTTTGGTGCGCGGCTTTTTGGGGGCCGCGTGGGGACCAAACCTGGGCGCGCAAGCCGTTGCTCCTGCTTCGTTTTCAGCCGTCTGGGGGCCCATCTGTGCCAGCACCAAAGGTCCCTCCGGCGAAAGATCACTCTTACGTCTAGTTGGCGCAAGAGGGAAACAGCGCCACACAGATAGCTGTACAACCTGCGGAGGTCTCGCACGGCACTCCTTCGGTGTGAGGCTGGGGCGGCCCAGAGAAGGGGACGACGGAAGGACGCAGCAGCAAGTCCAGAGGCTCATGTGGCAAGTGGGCGGCGCGCGAAAGATTGCGCGCGCAGTGCCTGCAACAAAAATGGGGATCGGGCATGGACGACCGGCGAAGGCGAGAAGAGGAGGTCCCACGCACCCGCAGCCAGGGGAAAGAGGATTGTGTGCGCGTCGTGGCCATCGCGGCCCTGCTCATCTCTCCTGTGGCGAGATGGGCGGACTGCCGTCAAGAAAAAATGTCCGGGCACTCGGCTGGACGATCAGTGAGCCATCTCTCCTAATCTGTGACGCGCTGCTGAGACCTGGGGCCGTCTGAGAACCCCATGAAGAGATCGAGCTCGTCACAGCACCAGCACCCCTGCAGAGCCGGAGGCGGCAGTTGGCGCGCTGCCACGCGTTGCCTGGGACACCGTCCCAGGCGAGTCTGAGGCACTGCGGGCTGCCAGATCCCCGCTGCTGCCCAAGTTTCTGACTCGCGGCGCGCGCGCACTCCGGCACGCCAGCTCTGACGTGAGGCGCTGCTCCGCATCGAAAGGTGGACACGCGTTCGAGAGAGCGGGGTTCTATTGTTGGGCGAGGCAGCGGGGGCAGGAGGCGGCTCGGCGCGCGAGCCAGCTCGCCCTGGCCCCTTACTTCCGCCCGCGCCGCAAAGAAAGGCAACCGAAAGGTCTTGCGGATCCATTCGCAACCTGCCTTGACTTGGCCACGAACTTCCCGCCAAACCGACCCGTGTCACGCACAGACGGGGCGCCCGTGCCCTTGGTGGCCCTGGAGAGGCCGCAGCGCGGCCCGGCAGAGGACCTTGCACACAGGCTGGGCCAGGCCTGCTCTCGGCACGCGGCCCAGCTCGGGGGAACCACCGACGAGGAGTCGTCTGTTGCCCGATCCCCCAGGCACGTACGCCCCCGACCCGCTGCGGCTCACCTGCTGGGGCAGCGGCGCTTGGCCTGCTCCTGCCCGCCAGCAGCATCTGAATGCTGGATGCTCTGCTGCTGATGCGGCTGCCTCGGTATCGCGGGGGTCACCTCGCGGGGGGCAGCTGGACCCTGCAAGAGCAGGTCTGAGATGAGGCCTTGCGACGAAAATGTCGTTTCCCCATGTGCGCTACTGATCGCCGGAGATGCTAGTTCTGGCAGTTCTAGCGAGACAGAGGACTCGCAAAACCTACAGTCCTCGCGCCCCCAAAAGCAACGCTGAAGAAGGAACGGCGGGCCTTCGCTGGCCACGGCGAGCCCTGGCTACGAGTAGGTTCTACGACTCACAGCTGAGGACCGGCCCGAAGATCAGAGCCCCTCCTGAGCTCAAAGTGGTCGTTATTCCAACAGCTTGACTGCAGTTCGGCTACACGCAAGATTGACCCTGGGTAAGAGTGACCTTTGGTGCGCGGCTTCTTGGGGGCCGCGTGGGGACCAAACCTGGGCGCGCAAGCCGTTGCTCCTGCTTCGTTTTCAGCCGTCTGGGGGCCCATCTGTGCCCGCACCCAAAGGTCCCTCCGGCGAAAAATCACTCTTACGTCTAGTCGAGCAGTGCGCTCGGCCCGATCGGCCGCCAGGGCCCGGGGCGGCGCGCGGACGTCGTGGCGGGGGGGCGGCCCCTGCCAGCAGGCAGAGGAGCATCCCGTGACGATCGAGACTGCATTCTGCTACGGCTGTCGCTCCGCCGCGTGGCCTCCGTTTGCTCGGCTGCGCCGGGGGGGGCGAGCGGGGCGGGGGCGGGCCATCATCGGGTATAGCCAGGACCCCAGGCAGGGGGACCCTGTCTAGTAGCAGGGCCCCGGAGGCCCTAAACTGGCCAGAATTACTACTAAACCAGGTCTGCCGTAGCTGGTGTCTTTTCGGGTGACGGCAGTTCCGGTTAGTGCAACGGGGCGGGGCATCACTAAACCAGGTTCCACTAAACCCAATTCTGCCAACGCCCGACATTAGGCGGCGGAGGCACGCCGTGAATGCGCGACCGTGGCTTCTTCGCTCACGCGGCCGTCGGCTGCGCGGGCCCGATGTGGCGGCTGGCCTTGTTCAGGTCTGTGGCCCTGGCCGTGGGCTTGACCTGCTGGCCAAGGAGCTGCATGCCAATCCGTGGTCCAACTCGGCCCGGTTGGCGCCCGGCGGCGGCTCCATGTCGCAATACAGGAAGCACGTCGTGGGTTTTGCACCCGGGCGACGGCATCCAAGATGATGTTTGCCCACCGTCATGCCAGGCTGGTGGCGGCTGGTGCGACACGATTTGCACCGCAACTGCGCAACATGAGTGGCCTCTTGATCTGGTCGGCTCTCTGGCGCAAGGCGAGGCGTCCGCTCCTGCGTATCACTGCACCCTCTGGTCCGCTCGATCAACCGTCGTGCAGGATCTAGCGCGTGGCCGTTGACATTTTAGATGCCAGCGCTATTTTGAGGAGGGGGAACGACGAGGGGAGCTACCACAGAGCATCAGATGGAGTCGCCTGTCCTCAACGTGGGTGTCCGGGCTCCTCCACGGGAGCACCAACAGCAACACTGAAGACATATGCGTGACAACCATGACGCTGGGCCATGCTGTGCAACAGCCCTGGCTCGCGGCCGCGAACTGTGGCGAAGCAATTGTCTGAGAGACTCTATCAATCTCGGAGGCGGCCAAGAGGGGGGCGTCCAAGAGGGGGGGGCGCAAATCATGACCGGCGGCATGTGCGCGGCCCAGGGGGGGGGCCAGGGATGCAATGAAATATAAGGAGAGGCGCCATGAAATCTGGGGAAATATCATGGCCCCCGCCATGATATCCACCTCCCCCCTAGTCATCACCCCCCCCTTGTCCGCCCCCGACAATCACAGCGGGGACGCCCGCACACCGCGGAAGACTCGCTGCCAGTGTCAGAGCAGGCGTTTGTTTGCTCGTCGGGCCCCGCCTGTGGAGACGAGGGGGATCGGAAACAGGAGAAGAGCTGGGAGGATACGGAGGAGAGGGACGCTGTGGAGGAGGAAGCGGGCGATGACGACGACGACGAGCGACAACGGGGACGAACGACGCCGCCGATGGGGCCTTTTTTTTCTCAGACAGGGCTGACTTGGCCACTCCCTGGACTGATCTGAGACTGCTATTATCTGCTCCAGCCACACGGCTGGCTATCCTGCGGGCGACTACACAAACGAAGCCAGCGCCTTGCGCGGGCGAGTTGACAGGGCGCGCGTAAGAGGAGGGGATGGGGCGCAGTGCAGGGGCTGAACTCGGCCGGCTGACCTCTGCCCGGCGAAGCTCGGCCTGGGCCGAGTTCAGCCTAGCC